CGTATTCTACCTTATAATACTACTAATTAAAATACTTGAAGTATCGCTTGTTACTATTTTTACTTCTACTTTTTCGGTGAAATGTCTGTCGGCCAAATGACCTTTCCCAGATGAAATAAGAAAACAGAAGGGCCAGAAATGTGGTTCTACAACATACAAAGCAAAATATGACACCGAAATCCGAAGGCATATTGGAATAGCGAAAGTTGCCTTCCTGAAGCTAAGCAAAGAACTAACAAATGGGAAAACGTTCTGAACTGACATGTAACATCATTCCTCCTACATGGCCGTAAATGCTGGACATTTTCCTCAGAGGTGAAGACGAGATTTGAGTTAACAGAAATGTGGTTATACAGAAGGATGCTGAGAATACTATGAACAGAGCATGCGTGCAAGGAGGAAGTTCTAAGGGTAATAGGAAAAATAAGGAAACATGCAATCAAAACGAGACCAACAAATAATGAGGAAAGAGGTTTCGGAGAATTTAATACTCAGAGGACATTTTCAGGGGAGGATGTGCGGAGGGAGGTAGTTAATAAACTACTTAATGAGTTTCGTTGACTGGATGGTAGAATAGGGACAAAGATTGTAAAATGGAAAAAATTACTTCGGGCAACAAAAGTGAAGCCGTGGAAAGTCTTGAAATGACTTAGAACATCAAAACGGAAGGTGAACTCTCTAATGTAAGGAGAGAAAAGTCTAATGTCCTTCTCTGTAGTCCGTTTCTGTTCTCTAATTTCCCTTTCCATTCACTATCTTTCGTTTCTGTTCTGTTATTGTAAAAAAAAATAAATTCTAGGTCCCATAACGAGCAAAAGTACCTGAAGAATTCAACATTTATCGCAGATATCCTGAAATTTTGTGATGTACAGGGGCCGTTAATAATTAAGTATAATTCAAGACTTAAAATAAAACCGTATTTAATTACAACTGCAACTAAATACTTAACAAGAACAAAGAAGTAAAAGTCAACCAAAAATAATTAACCATTTCAGTGAATACCTTGTTAATAGCACAGCTCGGCTTGACGTCCACTAAATCATAAATCAAAACCAAAATCATCGATGCACAATAATTCACACTAATTCGACTGGATAGTTCCACTCAATAGTCACTCCACAAGCTCTTAATAATCACTACAGTCAGTAGCCTGACACCGTTATTTATACACCTGGTGGAAGACATATATTCACAAGTCCAGAGTGTCACGCTCGAACCTTGGTGGCGGTAGTTACTCATTTTCTTCCTATATGACAAATTTGTCACATAAAAGATTAATTTGTTCTTTACGGCTTATTTACCTTTTGTAGGTTATTTAACAACGAAACATATTTTGGATTGTAAGTATAATTTAATTTTTGGTGGGGGTGTTTAAGTGCTTTAGTGGATATTGCATTAACAATTTTTGGGAGATAATAATTCTTTTCAGATACAAATCATCCTATTTAACTCATATCTAAGGGGTAAGAATACTTGGAATACTTGCAATCAAATCAAAAGTTTCATCTTCATAAGAAAATGTGTAAACACCCGCTCTGTTATCACAGGCGCATTGTTGCAAGTTACTATTTAACCTATAACGGGGGATAAGAAGTGGTTTCATGCCTTCCCCAAGGTTGTTTGCTTGTAAGTGAATGCAACGAAAGCTACCGGAATTCGAACTCGGCTTTTTGAGTTCTCATTCCGAGACGCTATATGTTACACCACCCGCATCCCCAAGATTACAGCACCTGGTACTGACCAGGCTCGACGTTGCTTAACTTCGGCGATCAGACGAGAACGGGAACAAAAAATAAGAACCCTGACTTAACTGTTTGTCTTACAGACGTGGCCTTTGTGTCAAACCAAGTCATGTTTAGTAGATGCTGATATAAATTTTAACTGTACCGGTTTCTGCTTTCAATTTATTATTATTATTATTATTATTATTATTATTCTCATATTTGCCTATTAGCAAGGTACCATCTTAAACAAAAGATGAAGAGGCAAACAGTGGGGAGAAATGGGCTGACAACGCCACTGATTGGGCTGGAAGATCCTTCAATAACTCAGCCGTTGACACGCAGCTGAGACATATGGTCAGGTGCTTAACTGCGCGGCGATCTTACGACCACACTTACGTCCTGGGTATGACGATAAACTACATCCTGTAACACGACCTCTAATTGGGAGGTTTTGAGGGACGGTGAACCACATATTAATTGCTGTTGTTCCTAGATTCACCCTGACCCTGAGTGATAGCACTTTTTAGTGCCCCAACTATGGGCAAATAGTTAACCCGCAAACTAAGGTCAAAGCACTATGAAAGTATAAAAAATAGATTTTTATAGTAAAAGTACCAGTAATACAGTTTTAGAGTAAAAAAAATGCCGACGATACGACTATATAGAAGCGCACCTCTAAAATTCTCGATGGCCAGAAATCGGCGACTGATCACTCTTCCGATCATTGTATAAGATCAAACGAGTGATCAATGGGTTAAAAACTGGCTGGTTACATTCAATGCTTCGAAGACCAAGCTAGTTAACGTCCCATCATCTCTGATCTGACGCCAAGCTACAACCAATCGAGATAAACGAAGGAACAACTTGAAAGACTGTTGGGCCTCAAACTCACACCCAATTTCAAGTGGAACTCGTAAACACGATCTATTGCTAAGGATACAGGTAAAATCGTCGGCTACCTGTACTTGACTCTTCCTGCTATCCTTTACCTTTACAAGAGCAAGACCAGGCCAAAGATGGAGGACTGTTAATTATATCCAGGCAGGAGTTCCGTCTCCAACCTTCATAGAGTTCAAAAGCGTCTCCTAGCCCTTGTGGATGACGAATTATTCCCACCCTTTAATCTGTCTCCCACGGGCAGGATGTGACAAGAGTCTCGCTACTCTAACGCTACTTCAATAGAAAGTGCTCGGACGAACTACATTCCCTGTTCCCGCCAAAGCAAACCTTCACTGCAAGAACACGCCATACCACTTACATAGTAACAAACCACTCACATTGCCTCTGTGTTCCATCAGTGAGAAGTAAGTTCCACTCGGCAACTTCTTCCCCGAACCAATGCCCTGTGGAATACACACAATAGCCCCCTTACGTAACCCCCAACCTCGAGTAACACCCGTGCCTTGTAACGGGTGAAATATTACCAGTAATAATTTTTTTGAAAAAAAATAAAAATAAAAACAATATTACAAGCAATATATTTTTGTAGGGACAGTGAAGTAATGGATAGCATTTCGGATTGAGGAATCGGAGAGCCGAGTTCGAATTCCAGTCGGATCCATTACATTCACTTACGTCCTAATACCCTTAGGAGAGGTATGAATTCTCTTCTTCTCCCCTAGATATGGGTAAATAACAAGACAGACCGGGTTCTTGGATAGCAACTGGTCTACCGCAGAAAGAAATGGCAACCTACTGCGGGAAAAAAAATCTGCCTCGTCAGTCATGTATCGAAAGATAGATAGATGATCGTCTAAGCGACTATCACGCATGACACACTACTGTACTGATGCGGCATTCACCCTGGGCGGATTGAGCCGGCTTCATCCTGTTATGAGAAGATTCTTGGGATAAATTACAGAAGTAGGGTACCCAGGCCTACTCGGATAACGTTCTTGCTTGCCGCGGGGTTCCCACAGACGCAGAGACAGGAACGACCAGAAGCCGCCGGTTACCGATGCAGACGCTCCTTGGATTTTCACCAGAGCCATTGTTAGCCGGCGTGTGTGTCAGACCTGTCCGCCTTGGGTGGCCCTACCAGGAACGATGTTCCGGGCGGCATAGCTCTGACACTACCGTTTACACCCCCCACCGACTGTGAGGTAAGGGTTGGACTTTGGGGGCTTACAGTACCAGGTGTTCCCAAGCGGTCCCCCATCTAAGTACTGACCTGGCTCTACGATGCTTAACTTCGGTGATCGAACGAGAACCGGTGTTTCAGCGTGATTTGACCGTAAGCATGACACATAACTGACTTAAATTCACTTACATGTTAATACCCTTGGGAATGGTATGAATCCTCTTTTTCTTTCCCCAACTATGGGTAAATAGCAGGACAGAGCGGGTTCTATAGCCTTGGATAGCAACTGGTCTACCGCAGAAAGAAATGGCAACCCACTGCGTGAAAAAAATCTGCCTCGTCAGTCATGTATCGAAAGATAGATGATCGCCTAAGCGAGTATCACGCATGGCACATAACTGACTGAAAAGTCATTACCAGCATTTCCCAAGAAAATTAAATTTCGGCATTAAATGACCCATAAGGAGTTGATATGCCGCTAAGCAAACAAATGACCACACCCGTTCACGGTGCTAATGATGACATTGGTCGTGGCTACTATTTCGTCCTTAAATACAATGTTCTGTCTTTCTTTCATATTTTTTTTTAATATAAAAACTTAAGATCGAACAAAGAATAGACCAATCAACAAACAAACTCTTAACGATCTCTCTTGCTCTTCAATTAGGTTTCCTCTTGATTTTGCCGAGGAAAATTGAATGAAAGCAACGCGAAACAAGTTCCACATTAAATCGTTCTCTCTTAAAGATAAAACGAACAGAAAGAAAACTTCATCTTCTCAAATCTGCACGGCGCAAAGTGACACTCGTTTCGCCCGACTCCCTTGATTCGTTTATTTACTATTATTTTTAAATTTGTCAAAATCTTAACCCATTTTAAGTATTCCTTTTGATTTATTTATGTCATTTTTGCCTTCTAGTTTTTTAGGGCTTATTTTTTTTCCCACGCATATCGTCTTTGCAACTTGTCCAAGTCGTCATCTTCTCCCATTTCTCTTCTCTTTACTTGATTCGCCATTTTGCCCGTTTATCGTGCTATTTTTTTCTTTTCTTTTCTTTTCTTTTCTTTTTTCTCTTTTAGCTTCACTTATTCCTGTCATATTTTTTCCTCTACACAGATTTCGAGTTTTCATTTGTCTCAGCGATTCTCTTACTCCTTACCATCGTTCTTTGTTTCTATTTCTTTCTTCGTCTAAGTCACTTCTTCTATAGCACTATTCTTCTTCTTCTTCTTCTTCTTCTTCTTTGACTATCTTCTAGCTCTTTCTTTCTTCCTTCCTTTCTTTGGTCTCTTTCTTTCTTTCTATATTTCTTTCTTACTCTCTACTTATTTTTTTCACTGTTGGTTTCCATCATTCTTCTTCTTCTTCTTCTTCGTCTACTTTGACCATCTTTCTTTCTTTCTTTCTTTCTTTCTTTCTTTCTTTCTTTCTTTCTTTGTCTTACTCTCTACTTCTGTCTTTCTTTCTTTTTCTTCTCCTGGGATATTAAGTCCCTTTTTTTCAAATCTTTCTTCCCTTTCTTTCTTCCCTTTCGTTCGTTCGTTCGTTCGTTCGTTCTTTCTTTCTTTCTTTCTTTCTTTCTTTCCCTTTTTTTCTTTTCTTCAACCGACCTTTTCGTTCGTTCTTTCTTTTCTTTCTTTCTTTCTTTCTTTTTCAGACATTTTATTCTTTTTCTTTCTTCTTTATTTTTCTTTCTTTCTTTTTCTTTCTTTCAAACTTCATTTTATTCTTTCTTCCTTTCTTTCTTTCTTCTGCGATATTAAGTTTTTTCTTTCTTTCTTTCAACCGTCTTCCGTTCTTTCTTCTCTTTCATTCTACAATAATCTTATTGTTTCTTTCTTTCTTCACTTTCTTTCTTTGTTCTTTTCTTTCCTTTTATTCTTCCTTTCTTTTTCTCTTTTTCTTTATTTCCTTTCTTCTTTCCTTCTTTCTTTCTTTCTTTTAACCATCCTTTTATCTTCCCATCTTTTTCTCTTTTTCTGTTTTTCTTTCTTTTAACCATCCTTTTATTCTTCGTATCATTTTTCTTTCTTTCTTTCGTCCTTTTTTTCTTCTCTTTTTTTCTTCATTTCTTTCTATATCAGTTAAACATAATCAGCTTTTTTTTATATTTAATTCTATTTTATTTCTGAAACCACTTTCAATAAATCCGATCCGCCATTGTTTAAAAACAAATCTCCTTTATTAATGACAGTTCAAAATCTTACTACGACATAGAATCTACAGACCTTTATACTTACTAATGTCTACAGACATTGCGACTTCACAGACTTGGTTTTGCCAAATGAAAAAAGAATTCAAAGCAACCAGGATTTCCTTTCAAAAATATTTCGAAGAAATTTTGATATTTGATATTTTTTTTCTTTCTTAATTTATTTATTTATTAATTTTTGCACTTTTTTCATGATTTTTCCTTTGCTTCTTCTTCTTCTTAGAATTTCTCTTTTCTTCTTTCATTGCTTTTCTTCTGTTTTCTTTTTAATATAATTTTATCTTTCATGGTTTTTTTTCCACTTCCTTTTCTTGATTTCTTCTTCTTCCTTTTCTTCTTCTTCTTCTTCTTCTTTTCTTTCTTTCTTTCTTTCTTTTTCTTTTTTCTTTCTCTTTTCATGTTTACTGTCCTATACGTGTATCTTTCTTTTGTTAATCCATTTTCACGGTTCTTTTTCATTCTTCTTCTTCTTCTTCTTCTTCTTCTTCATTATCATCATCATCATCATGATCATTTTCTTCTCCATTGTCATAATCATTATCATCTTGCTCTTCTTCATTGTCATCATCATTATCATCATCTTTTTCTTCTTCATCATCGTCATCTTCTTTGTCATCATCATCATCATCATCTTTTTCTTCATTTTATCATCATCATCTTCATCGTCTTCTCCTTCATCATCAAAATCTTTATTTTCTTCTTCTTTTTCTTCTTCATCTGCTTTTTCATCATCATCATCTTCTTCTTCACCATCTTCTTCACCTTCACCTTCATCATCATCATCATCATCATCTCCTTTATATACTTCACCATCATCATCATCTTCACCTTCTTCATCATCTTCATCTTCATCACCAACATCATTTCTTTCTTCTTCTTCTTTCTCTTCTTCATCTTCTTCATCATCATCATCATCTTCTTCATCTTCTTATCGTCGTCATCATCATCATCATCATCATCATCATCATCATCTTCTTCATCTTCTTATCGTCGTCATCATCATCATCATCATCATCATCTTCTCTTCATCATCTTCATCATCTTCCTCACCAACATCATTTTTTTCTTTTTTTGCATCTATCATCATCATCATCTTCTTCTTCACCATCTTCTTCACCTTCACCTTCATCATCATCATCATCATGTTCTCCTTCATATACTTCACCATCATCATCATCTTCATCTTCTTCATCATCTTCATCTTCATCACCAACATCATTTCTTTCTTCTTCTTCTTTCTCTTCTTCATCTTCTTCCTCTTCATCATCATCTTCTTCATCTTCTTATCGTCGTCATCATCATCATCATCTTCTCTTCATCATCTTCTTCATCATCTTCCTCACCAACATCATTTCTTTCTTTTTTTGCATCTATCTTCATCATCATCATCATCATCATCTTCTTCTTCACCATCTTCTTCACCTTCACCTTCACCATCATCATCATCATGTTCTCCTTCATATACTTCACCATCATCATCATCTTCACCTTCTTCATCATCTTCATCTTCACCTTCATCATCATCATCATCATCTTCTCCCTTCACATATTTCACCATCATCATCTTCATCTTCATCACCAACATCATTCCTTTCTTCTTCTTCTTTTTCTTCTTCATCTTCTTCATCATCATCATCATCCTCATCTTTTTTTTTATTCATCATATTCATCTAAATCATCAGCATCATCATTTTCTTCTTCTTCTTCATCTTCATCTTCTTCTTCTTCATCTTCAAGAAACAATGGATAAACCTCTGTTACTAATCAAAAAAACTGCGGAGGTATATGAACCTGGCGATAGTCTTGAAAGTTTTACCGAATATAACATAAACCTGTAAAAGACAGGAGAAAATATCGGCAGAATATTCATGGAACAACTTGTACGAGATAAAATATTAACAATGGCTTGACAGATTATCCACTTAACATAGCAAAGTCTATTCTCGCTTTCTTCTTCTTCGCCATCTTTCTTTCTTTCTTTCATTTGCTTCTGCTTTTTCTCCTTTTCTTATTTTTTCTCCTTTTGTTTGCATCTTTCTTCTTCTTCTAACATTTCTTTATCTTCTTCTTTGACAATCTTTCTTTCTTTCTTTCTTTCTTTCTTTCTTTCTTTGAACTTATACGTTTCTTTGTTTCTTTCTTTTTTTCTTTCTTTCTTTCTTCTTCGTTCCTTTCCTCCATTTTTGTAATTTCTTTCTTTCTTTGAACTTATACGTTCTTCTTCTTTCTTTCTTTCTTTCTTTCTTTCTTTCTTTCTTTCATTTTTGTAATTCCTTTCTTTCTTTGAACTTTCTTTCTTTCTTTCTTTCTTTCTTTCTTTGATATCTTCCTTTTTTATTTCTCTGACTCTCTACTTTTGTATTTTCTCCTTTCTTTTTATTCTTTTTCACCGTTCGTTTGCATCTTTCTTCTTCTTCTTCTTCTTCTTCTTCTTCTTCTTCTTCCTCTTTTTGCTCCCTTCTATTTGTAGGTTTTTTTGCCTTCATTGTTCTTTGGGAGAGACAAAATTATTAATAATGGCTTACCAGCTTATCCAGTCAATAATTGTCATCTGAATTGGAATCTTACCTGGTATTAAGAAAATCTCTCTCTCTCTCTCTCTCACACACACACACACACAAACACGCACGCACACGCACACACACACACTACACACACTCTTTCTATCTCTCTCTCTCTTGCTACAATTCAGCGATCACCAGTATTTTTAAAAAAAATTTGAAATTTTTTTTGTGCGTATAAACGTGCCGATTTTTGTAAATACGGTTGTCCATACACGACATTATCAGAAAATAAGAGTGGTTACTACAGTAAACTTAAAACCAAAGTACCTAAAATAAAACATTAGAATATTTTCCTCCACTTTTAAGATTAATGCGTTGTAAAAAAAAAAAAATTATTTAAAATAAAAGGCGATCACGTTACATTCGTCAAGTGATATTTACAAATATGTCCCCACTTGAAAAAATTCCAAACATATGTCTATCGAGTTAGTTGTCAACACTTCATTAAAACACGGACCTTCGTTTTAAAAATGTTTTTCTACAATATATTAAACTAAAAGTAAGTTATATTTGTTTCAAATTAGATTAATTAAACCTTAACAAAGTTCATTTTTATTATTTGTTGTTATTTTTCCCGATTACTTTTCAATGTTGCCACATTTGTTTTCAAGGATTTTGTTTTTGTGTTTTTATGGAACTGCTTTTAGCTAATTCCGCCAGAATTAACCCCAAAAACTTGTCAGACAGAATTCTTGCTGGTTAAATATGCGTTATTTATTCGTATCGAAAAAACGTTACAATTTCCCTTACTCTCAGCCATGTGACAATAGGTTAGGGTTGGAATATCTGACTGATGTCAAATCGGCCCGGTTTTGATCCCGGCTTGAAGCAATCAGATGTCTAGCCACACTGATTTCGCTGTGATACAGCGAAACACTCTGTCTTTGAATGGCTCTCTCTCTCTCTCTCTCTATATATATATATATATATATATGTGTGTGTGTGTGTGTGTGTGTGTGTGTGTGTGTGTGTGTACTTAGTTACACCGGTATATCTTCAGAAAAATCATTAAAAAGATTAACTTCCTAGAGCAACTACACACACACTATATATATATATATATATATATATATATATATATATATTCCACCTTAATGTTCGTTTTTTTCCCTCCCCATTTTTGTTGAATAAATATTTACCCAACTTACGTTTGCGTTTTTGGTTCTTTGGTCACGTGGTATGATTTTGGCTATCGCCTAGAAATATGCGTTTCTCTTTGCCTCGTTGGCCTTACTTTCCCTGACGATCCGTTTAGGAGAAACCTACGTAGGTTTGTCTGGCTCACTAGATGTATCTATCTATCTATCTATCTATCTATCTATCTATCTATCTATCTATCTATCTCTCTCTCTCTCTATATATATATATATATATATATAGTTTATGAAAAACTAGGTAATCCGTATGGGTAAACGCACGGAGGATAAAATCCAGAGAGCTCAATGTAAATCCAGAGCAAATAATTTAAATGAAAACAGACCACTTTAAGGTTCCATGTAATAAATTATTTCACCACAGCCCTTTCAAAGGATTCTTTAAAAGGGTTGCGGTGAAATAATTTATTGCGTGGAACCTTAAAGTGGTCTGTTTTTATTTAAAATAATATATATAGATATATATAGATATATATATATTTCTGAACATCAAAGTAACTAAGCATATATGTGTAGTTAAAAATTTAAGTTTTATTTCATAAAAAGTTTTGCACATCGAGGAATCAGACAGAGTTCGGGGTTTTTTCTAACAATGCGATTTCGAGAAGAAATACACCATCTACAAAAACATCTGCCGGTGACTAATTCCCATTTTTTTTTTGTTAATTCCCTGGTCCGTTGATGAAGGACACAGGCGTGTCCGAAAATTCCAAACTTAAATCCTTTCTCTCCGTGCTTCATTTCTGTCATATGGTTAATAATTAATATTTAATAAATGTTTATCGTACTGATTATATTGGTACCCTTTCGTTTGTCTTTGTTATATTAACTAACCTTTACATATATATAAATATATATATATATATATATATGTATATATATATATATATATATAAAAGTGAACATAGAAGTCAACACTTAGAAGCGACAGTCTATTTCGTGCTAGATGCAATCGTCAGGCCACGATATATATATATATATATATATATATATATATATATATATATATATATATATATATATATATATTGTTGGACAGTAACGGTTATATTTCAAATTATTCTACATGCTATTGAGGCAAAAAAAATTTGGGGATCCAAATGCGGGTATTAGCAACTATTTTATATTGTGTTTTTTTTTTACTCCTACCTAATAACAATTAGGATAATAGAATAGATGTTGCTACCCATAATATAGCATTGATATGCATACGTAAACAGTCGAGCCAAAACACATGGCCTGAAGATTGCGTTCAACAAGGAAACAGGAAAAATTTGATGTTGTCCTCAATGTTTATTTTTATATTGACATACGCTATATCCCTTATATTGAGCACTTTTACCCATAAGTACAGCATACCATAAAGCTATATTTGTATATATATATATATATATATATATATATATATATATAGAGAGAGAGAGAGAGAGAGAGAGAGAAAACAAAAGTAAACAAGTAAAAGGTTTGTCATTCAGCTGATTGATGTTACCTTTAGCATCTCCAGAGTTTTGTAGACAGGACCTCTGGTCATCAATCCGTCCACTCGTCAGGGATTATCAACAATTCACTTATTATACTTCCTGATGTTACTTTTTATAGCATTTTTCATTGGTGCAAGTTTTTTTATTGATTTTTGTTCCCCATAGTGTATGTGCGCGTTCTTTGCGTGTTTATATATATATATATATATATATATATATATATATATATATATATATATATATATATATATATATTTATGTAAGTATGTATATATATATATATATAATGCTTGAAGATGTTCCATCACAGAGAAATATTTTTTCTGGTAAGGATGCACAAACTTGAGTAAATGAAGGGCGTAACATGATTGAGTAGAGAAGACGAAATTTATTAAGAGTTACGAAAGACAGGAAGTTGTGGAGTGCCATGATCGACAACGTTCTGAAGGGACACCGCGTATAAGAAGTATGGAATGTCAACACGTTGGCTATGTTATCATTTTCTTGTCACGTCACATGTGATATCCATTTTAGTTGTACCATTAAGCTAGAGAAAGGCATCTGGTAAGCCGATTTCCTTGTAACTGAATGGTACAGAATATATATGAATACAGGTTCGAATTCTGTCGGGGAACGCGTATTTTCTAAAAGAATTTTTTGAACATTCTGGCCGGAAAATGTGATTAATACTGATTAATTAAAAATAGAGCATTTACTTCAATAAATTGGATCTATAAATAAAATATAAAGAGAAAATGTATCAAATAATTAACTTTATCCATTTCATTAAAATATATACATGTATAGATAAAGAGAGAGAGAGAGAGAGAAAGAGAGAGATTGAAACAAACAGATTGCGGTTGTCGTGTAACGATTATCGGAGAAGGAAATGGAATCAGTGAACAGATTACGAATTTTGGCTGACCCTGTTGCTTTGGGATTTGCACAAATACTTCTCGCGATGAAATGAAACCATCTCTTCTAATATATATATATATATATATATATATATATATATATATATATATGTGTGTGTGTGTGTGTGTGTGCGCGTGTGTGTGTGTTAGAAGAGATGGTTTCATTTCATATATAAATATATATATATATATATATATATATATATATATAGGATAAAATGAAGCCATCACTTCTAAGATATATATATATATATATATATATATATATATATTGCTATAAAATCTTCCATTGCGGAGAGACATTTCATGTTCAGTCACACACCGAGATTTTAAAGACAGCTGATGTTTACAAGTTACTACAGAAATTGAAGTATGTAACTTGATCTGAATTTATATGCCGTATGAATTGGAAATATGCGGAGACCGACTTTTAAAAAAAAAAAACGTGTCTCTCAATTGCTTTTCCATCGCTCTGTTGCCTTGAACATATAACGTGTGATCACGAGCGGGAAGAAAAAAATTGCTGTCGCAAATCTGACGGTCTTTCAAGATTACGCATGCGCCGAATGCGTTATTCGAGCAAAAGAGTGACAGCCGGAAGTTCGTTGGCCAGCGTCTGCTAGACCAATCTCACAAGGAGAAGGGGATTTTTATCTCACACACACAATCACACACACACACACACACCTATATATATATATATATATATATATATATATATATATATATATATATATATATATATATATATATATATATTAGAGCTATTAAGTTTATATAAAAAAAATTGAATAAGGCATAATATCTATCTATCTATCTATCTATCTATATATATATATATATATATATATATATATATATAAAAGCTATTAAGTTTATATAAAAAAATTGAATAAGGGATAATATCTATTATCTATCTATCTATATATATATATATATATATATATATATATATATATTATATATATATATATATATATATATATATATAATATAAGCTCTATTAAGTATATATTAAAAAAATATGAATGAGGGATAATATCTATCATCTATCTTTATATATATATATATATATATATATATATAAAATATAATAATATTAATTATATATTAATAAATATGAATGAGGGATAATATGTATATTTCTTTATATATCATGAAGAAACAATTTATACAAAGAATTAATTAGCGATGTTAATGTGATTAATGGCGAAATCACTTCGCTAAAAGGACTTAACTTCCTCTCAATTCCTTAAATAATAAGATCCTTATATTTGAGTTGTTTTCGGATGGAAGACACATTCCAAGTACTTTCGACATTTTGAAATTGTTATCTTCAGGGCGCAATTTCCCCATAATTAAGCAAACACTGAGACGAAATATGTGTAAACCGAATGATATATTTTTTTAAAATAATGCTATTTATTGACAGTTGAACATATGTTTTGGAGCGTGTGATGCCACAACGCTAGAATTCCTATTAAAATAAATGAAGTAAGAATTTTGTTTGAATTTTGAAAAGTTATAAATCCACGAAATTATCTTGTTATATGTATTTATCTGTTAAATTGACATGGACTTAAGTATAATCGAATTTTGTAGATTAAAAATGTCTTTGTCGTTTTCCACAGAATTTAAAATTCTGATTACGTGCTGCGGATCTGATTTTGTAAATATATTAGAGTGTGCAGCTTATATTTTATATCATAAAGAAACAATTTATACAAACAATTCATTAGCAACTCGAATATGATTAATGGCGAAACCTCTTCGCTAACAAGGTTTAATAAGACATTAACTTCCTCTCAATTCCTTGAATAATAAGATCCTTATATTTGAGTTGTTATCGGATTGAAGTCATATATCAAGTACTTCCAACAATTTCACATTTGGATGTGTGAGTGTATATGATAAAAATATAGTTTAAACGTATGCAATATTATTGGGTAAAATTGCGAATTAATTGTGATAGAATTTATACAAATCTAAAAGTGGAAAACTTAAGTCTTTGGCAATTTTTATACATACAACAACCTATATATATATATAGATAGAACTGTTCCAAAAAATTAATGAATTCTTTTTATTTATTAAAAACCGAGAATCAAAAAGACAGTTTTTCCATGACACCGCTATCATTTTAACTACCCCCACTCCTCAGCCATGTTTATTCTTTTAAAACCCGATGATTAAAATTGTAATAAAACCTGACCAAAGCAAAAAGAATACGTATAAATTCAATTTAATAAATTTCTTTGTTATTGTGAATTGACAAAAAAAAAAACAAAAAAAAAAAAAAAACACTATTTATTGAGGAGGTGGAGTAATGGATAGCGGCTCGGATTGAGGAATCGGAGAGCCGAGTTCGAATTCCAGTTGAATCCATTACCTTCACTTACGTGATAATAACCTTTGGAAAGGTACGAATTTTCTTCGTCTCCCCCGGTATGGTTAAATAGCAGGATAAATCCTGCATGGCAGAACAGACTGACTGTAGACCAGTTGCCTTGCAACTGGTCTACCGCAGAAAGAAATCTGCCTCGTCAGTCATGTATCATTATCGCTTAATCGTGTATCACGCATGACACATAACTGACTGAAATAATAAGGATGTCCTTATAGTTGATCCATATATTATAATAATTTAATCAATATTTATAAATAACAATTTTTTCCACATGAGAGAAGTGCGAGAACGGTAACGGTTAGAATAAAAGTGGCTGTTGCATCTAGCGATGAGACCTAGTTGCCGGTTTAGTAGCACGTTTGAATTCATGTAGTCGAGATACCAGGAGGTGTTGGGGAAAGTCCATCCGAACAGTTGCCATGAAATTATTTGTAGAAAAGACACAGGGAAGCCGTGTCACGTCGGTGAAAATGAGACTGAAATCGAGATACCAGGTCAGGATCGATTACATTACAGACCCTTCTTTAGATGTTTTTCAAGAATCTCGAGATATATATCAGGAACACAAGACCAAATATGGCAGCAGTATTCAATTCACAGACAAATGGTAGATTTTATAAATGGTAGATTTTATAAATGTTCAAGGTGGATGATGGCAAGAAAAGTTTTCTGACCAACACAGTGAATCGACTTTCCTAGCATATTTCCCCGAGGTGAATACTTATCGTTACAATTTGGGCGGGAGCTCACTCTCCAGCCTCGATAGAGTTCGAAAGCGTCTGCGAGCGTTTCTAGGTGATGAATTATACTCTACCCTCCAAATCCCTCTCTTACGGGCGGGGCGTGGCAAGCCTCTCGATGCTCTAACGCTACTTCCACGGAAAATGCTCGGACGAACTACATTCCCTTGTCCCACCGAGGCAAACCTTCACAGCAAGAATGCCACTTACATAGCAGCAAACTATCCACATTCCCGGTGAAAAGTAAGTTCCATTCGAACAGCTTCTTCCCACGAACCGCTCCCCTGTGGAACCGACTCCCAACAGGATATTTCCCCGTTCACTACAAAACAATGAACTCCTAACGTAACCCTCTACCTCGATTGGCACACAGGCCTTGTAAAGAGTGAACCATACTGTAAAAAAAAAAGACAAAAACAATGTACTATAAAATATGAATTATAAAAAAAAAGTTCCTAAAATAACATAAACCCAAACGGAATCTTAATGATTTAATTATAAAATCAAGAAGCCATTGACTAAATGATATCTTGTTTCAATTTCCGAAGTGGGCTTATAAATGTATTTAAAAAGTGATAGATGCATTGGGCATATGGCAGATTCTCGCTTGTATGCCAACTCGAGGGTTGCGTAATGCGAATGGCAATCACTAAAATGCTGAGTTTAAAATTATTTACAAATTAAAAAAATATAACATCTACGACTTACCTCTTTCTTCTTGCTCTTGTGCTCTGTGCTGTCAGGACATTGATAATCATGACTCTCCACAACTTCCTATATATCCTAACTCTATGAAAATGTCTCCTTACAATCCCTCCCCGTCCCTGTTCTCTCACCCATTTACACAATTTCGTTATATAGGTTCCTCTTGGCTTCAATATGTCCACAGCCGTTCTAATGTTCCTATGTTGGACAATTTTTGCCTTTATTTTCACCAGAAATTAAATCAAATATTCGGACATTAGAACGGCCATGTCTAATGGATGTCTATCATCAGTTATATCCTAAAGGAGTTCGTTAGACTGTTCTAGTTCCACGTGCCATGTTTAATGGATGTCAGATATCAGTTATCTCCTGTTAATTCACCTCCCCAAGTGCTCCACTGCCTTAACCAGGTATTGAACTCACACACTTTGTCTCTTCTGTGGATCTAACTAACGCCTTCAGGATATAACTGATAACAGACATCCATTAGACATGGCACGTGGAACTAGAGCAGACTACCCCAGCGAGCGAAATAAAAGGTACAGTTCGACATGCCAACCCCCTGAAGAAGGCCGGAAGTACAACGGCCGAAACGTTGTGATAAATATGGCAATAAAGATGAGGGCAATATTTCGAATAAGGTAAATAGTGCATTTTTCCAAAAAAATCAGTTTATTCAAATTTCAAACGATTGGTTTGCAAAATTGACGGAATCGTAGAGTTTGTAAATCTTGGCCCCCAAAAATGTTAACGATAACGCCAACAATGCCAGACATTGTTAGAATTTCAACACGGGTCCGCCTGTTGCAAAAAAAAATAGTAATAATAACAAATCTAGTGATTTAAATAGCAAGACAGACTGAACTCTCTTACCGTGATCTTGGTAACCCGTCTAAGAGAAGGAAAATTCTCAGTTCTAAAACCAGACCGAAGAGGGATGGACTCTGTCAGGTTATATTTCCATAGACGTACCACTGCTGCTATGGCTTCAGTAAATCTACGACTCTAATGGCTTAAGCGGGCTACACGCGCAGATTAATTAGTTTGGTTCATAGTTATAACTTACTTTCTGCCTTACCGTCCTGAAGTTTTCAGATCACACCTCACCAGATAAGAGTTCTCCTTGTCTGAAGCCACGTCGCATGGTCGGGTAATTCGTGACTAAATCGGCCCCTCAGCCGGCTTATCTGGCGAGGAGAGTGTTGGCAAGACACCTAGAAGGATACACAAAATGAAACCGTTTTGTAGGGTCAGCAATCCTGTCTAGCACGCAAATTTTCTTACCCACTGCCTATCGGACGCTCTTGGCCCACCAAAAGCAAAGGGAGATAAAAACTTTAAATAATACCACGTTGTGTATGGACAAAGGCATGTCCTAACCTATGCTATCAGGCAAAATGCTGCAACTTGAACAGCTGCTGGTCGTCTCGGGCTTTCCGCCATACGAGAATTCAAACTGTTCAATCCAAGATAGACCTGCAGCTAATCTGATCATCCAACCAACCCCCAGCATTCTAATCACTTCTGCGCAGGTTTATCTATTTCACTGACCTGACCGTCACGAATATGGTCCGGAAAAATACAATATAGTTTTCATGTATAATGTCTGTTGAATGCCATGATACACGCTTGGACTAGACAGATTTTCCCTCAGTAGGTTGCCGTTTCTTTCTGCGATAGACTGGTCTCAAACAAGGATATAGGACCCAGTCTATGCCGTTATTTCAACCCATTTCTTGCCACTGCTGATAATGAAAATTCAGTCAGTTAAGTGCCGTACGAGATACACGCTTGGGCAATCATGCCTCTTTCGATTCATGACATGACTAGGCAGATTTCCCCACAATAGTTTGCCGTTTCTTTCTGCAATAAGCTGGTCGCCAATCAAGTCTATAGGACCCAGTCTGTCTCGCTATTTCAACGCATTTCATGCCACTACCGATAATGAAAAGTCGGTCAGTTAAATGCTATTCTTGATGTACGCTAGAGCCATCATGCTTCTTCCTATCTACGAGAACATGTTCCGGTATATTCTAACCCATAGCTGGGAGTAGTGGTGGATTCATATCTTTCCCAAGGGTATTTGCGCGTAAGTTAATGTAATGAACCCGACAGGAATTCGAACTCGGCTCTCGGATTTCTCATTTCGAGCCGACATCCAGCATACCAAAATACACAACCAATGTATAATACACAACTCTAGCTTTTAGGCTAATAAAACTACGTATTATACATGAATAATTATGGTAGATACTAATCTTACCTCGGCTCGAAATAAAAGAAAAAAAATAGCTGTTACTTGTGCGCGAACACCGAACACTCAGACCAGTGGTAAACGGAATTTACTAAAACGATAATATTTTTGTTTATTTTTTGTTTTCTCTCTTTGCTTTCTTTAGTTTTCTCTTTCTATCTTTCTTTTTTTCTTTCTTTTTTCTTTCTTCCTTCCTTTCTATCTTTTTTCTTTCTTTCCTTCTTTTTCTTTCTTTCTTTCATTCTTTTTCTTTCTTTTTTCTTTCTTTCTTTCTTTCTTTCTTTCTTTTTCTTTCTTTCTTTCTTTTTCTTTCTTTCTTTCTTTTTCTTTCTTTATTCTTTCTTTTTCTTTCTTTCTTTCTTTCCTTCTTTTTTCTTTCTTTTATTTTTCTTCCTTTCTTCCTTTCTTTCTTTCTTTTTTTTTCTTTCATAAATTTTTCTTTCTTTCCTTCTTTTTCTTTCTTTCTTTCTTTCTTTCTTTTTTTTCTTTATTTTTTCTTTCTTTTTCTTTCTTTCTTTGCTTCTTTTTCTTTTTTCTTCTTTCTTTCTTTCCTTCTTTTTCCTTTTTTCTTTCTTCCTTTTTTTCTTTCTTTCTTTCTTCTTTCTTTTATTTCTCGCTCTCTTCTCATATCTTTTTTCCTACTTTTTTGTTTTATTTTAATTTTCTCTCTTCTCTTCCTGTTTGGACTTTTCTTTCTTTTCTTCCTCTCTCCTACATAGGTTTTCTTTCTTTTTTTCCTTTTTCTTTCTTTATTTCTTTCTTTTTCTTTCTTTCTTTGCTTCTTTTTCTTTTTTCTTCTTTCTTTCTTTCCTTCTTTTTTCCTTTTTCCTTTTTTCTTTCTTCCTTTTTTTCTTTCTTTCTTTCTTTTTTGTTTTATTTCTCGCTCTCTTCTCATATCTTTTTTTCTACTTTTTTGTTTTATTTTAATTTTCTCTTTTCTTTCTTTTCTTCCTCTCTCCTAGGTTTTCTTTCTTTTCTTCCTTTTTCTTTCTTTCTTTCTTTCTTTCTTTCTTTCTTTCTTTCTTTCTTTCTTTCTTTCTTGCTTGCTTTCTTTTCTTCTACTTGCTTACTGTTTCTATACAACGTCTTTTCATTTATTATTCAACCAATACATGGCTCAAGAGCCACTAAAGGTAGGGATTTTTGCCCCATCATAAGAAAGAGAAGGGCAAATTATGAGGACATGTAAGATAGATAAAGGTTAAAACTAAACTTTAATGTTATAAGGTTGTAATAATCTGAGAAGTGTCCTCTCTAGAGTCTGTTCCACAAAGCAATTGTTCCGGGGAAGGTACTGTCACAGTGGAACTTTCTCCTTGCCAATTGAAATATGAAAGAGCGGCTCTTGTTGTGATTGTCTGAACTCAAGGAACTGAAGATCGTGTTAATATTTGCTATGGAAATAGAGATTAAAGATTATCGACATGCTAGCAACGATTTGTCTGTGGGAAAGAGATTTTAAGGAGGAAAATAATTCATCACCCAAAAGGCTGCGTAAAAGCTGTCGACGCTGGAAAGTAAGAATTGGGTATCACCATCCCAGAAAATACTGCAAGATACCATATTTGGTCTGATTTGGCTCTTGTAAAGATAAAGTAAAGCAGGAGACAGACAGATACTTCTTGGAGCGCTACAAGGTACCGACTATGTTTCCGGCATCTTTAGCGATAGATCCCATTTGAGGTTTGGGGTAAGTGCATGCCACTAGCGTTTGCCGCTGGTAGACCGTGGTCGGACTGCCGGCGTGTTTGTCTCGGCACTGTTACCACTGGCGGACTGCTACAGCCCCGTGGCCCGCCGGTGTCTGCTATCACAAGACTACGGAGGTTTCCATCGACAGCGGGCCAGCGGCTCAGTAGCGTCTTCGACTAGGTGGCATGTCAGTAGCCAGAAGACTGCGGACGTTGCCATCGGCGGCTCGCCAGCGGGCTACTAGCGGCCTGCGTGTAAGGTCATGACTAAAAAAATAACAATCAGACTCTGCATGGTAATGATGGAACGTTACTGATTTAGTTTTGGAGGTGTTGAATTTTCAAAAACAGGGTTTTCCCGGTAGAGCTGTTGGAGCTAAATCAGAGCGGAGATCAGTTGCCTGACTATGGCCATCAGGGCTTATGCTTACTTCGTTTTTCTTTTTTTTTTAATCGTTTCATCCCAAGCAAGGCGACAATGCCTCTAGATCGCAGGGGGTTACAAGGATTGAAAGTGAACGATGACGAAAAGATTGAAAAAGGGGGTTGTTTGAGTAAAAAAAAAAAAAAAATAGGATTCAAGAAAGCAGAAGGTGACGATTTAAAGTTTCGAAGAGTGTAGTTATCAGGGAAGCAAGAAATCGGAATGGAAAGTGCGAGAAAAACAAACTGTTAGAACAGATATTGGCGTTTGCATCTAGCTCGTTCAACAGTAAAACTGTGAGACCTAGTTTCCTCATTTAATTTAATCGAATACTTTCAATCATTATTTCTTTCTACTTCCTTTTCTTTCTTGCTTTTCTTTTTCTTTCTTTTTTTTTTTTTTTTTTTTTTTTTTTGACCTATTCCAGTCATGGGCTGTCACCCTCTAAATGTCTCACCTAATTCAATGAAGCAAATAATGTTTATTAATTTTTTTCTGTTTTGTTTCATTTCCACTTGTTCACTCACATTCTCTTTCATGCAGTGAGGTTTAGAGAAGATGGTGTCAAAGAGCAATAACTATAAAATGCCTGAGTAGCCTCCCTTACTTATTAATGCCTGTTGCAATGTGGGTACAGTTCGAATAAATTACAGGACGCCCAGTAAAAAAAGCGGTAAATTCAGAAAGACGTGAGACACCCGTTGAAAATTGGTGACGACTGATGTGACTGAAAAAATTCAGGAAGAATTTCTGCATATTTCATCAATCCTGATGTTGGATGTTCTTTGAAAAGTACGATAATTTGACGCTCAAAATCAGTAAGTTGTTTAGTCATACGGGAAGGGCAGAACGAAAAACAGATGTAAATAACCTTTAAATGATGAATCACATGATCAATTAATCAATCATAAATGAACCAATCAGAGTTAAGTAATTATGCGAGAGTTAAATGATTATTCAAGGTCATGAATATTCAAGAAATTTATTGAAGGTTATTCAAGGTCAATTATTCCTGAAAGCTAAAACAGTGACAATAAATTTTCTGCTTTTTTTTTTTTTTTTTTACTGGGCACTCTGTATGTACATAACGATTAAATAAGATGCTTCTTGAATTTTGTAAACTTTCGTTGAAGGTAACATTCTCAGCATTTTAGACTATTGCCGATTTTTATTAAGGAAGATCATGCATGTAAAAATGTTTTGCTTTATAAATGATATAAATCATTCATATTGATTTTTTTTTTTTTTGGCGGGGGAGAGGAATTTTTTTCTTTTAAAAATATATTTTTTGCATTTTCTAATGAATAAATTAGAAATAAATCACACAGAGCAGCCTGTACTAATCACAATATCATCAGTGGTAATATTATTCATTTTCAACGTACATTTACATTTTTTGGTCTGTTGTCCTTAATGACAACGTTTCCATTAGACATGGCACGTGGAACTAGAACAGTCTACCCCAGTGAGCGAAATAAAGGATTCATTTCGACATTCCAACCACCTGAAGAAGGCCGGAGCGTACAACGGCCGAAACGTTGTGATAAACATGGCGACAAAGAAGAGGACAATGATCCGAATAATGTAAATAGTATACATAATACCTCATCTCAGAAATATAGACAGATTTTCAACATGTTATTTGTAGAGAAAATCTTTTCTCCAAATAAAAAATATCAACTTTTCCCCGATTTCTAAGGTTGATGCTTACACGCATGATTCTGTATGATGAAAATGACCGCTTTACTTTTATCGAGAAATTACTTTTAATTTTTCTTTTTTTTTTTTAATTAGTGCGGCCCGCCTCATGATGAACCGTATCTCATGCGACCGACTGATCAGAAAAGGTTGCCCATGTCTGTCCTATACGATAATTTTTATATCATTTGTGATCGTCAAGGGCTAACTTGATTCCGATGGAGGAAGTTGATTGGATTAAAGAAACGAATTAGACATTGGTTTGGACAAATGGCCAAAGAATTTGTCTATATTTCTGAGATGAGGTATTATGTACATTATTTATATTATTCGGACTATTGTCCTTAGTAATAAATATGGCGACAAAGATGAAGACAATAGTACGAATAATATAAATAATGGCCAAAGAATTATTTTCATTTAAAACATATGAAAATGTCTCTGGTAAGTCGTATAGTGTAGCGTTCAAAATGCTTAATCCGGCTGACTGCTTGTTGGCTATCGGTTTGGGCTTTTCGCGTCGATAATAGAGTTTGTTCTCTTTCTGTATTCCCTCCTTTGTCTTCCTCTTTTCCCCTCTCTCTCACAAACACACACACTCATTTTCACTTTCACGCACACTCACTCATGTATACAGGGGGATTGAAAAGTAACTCCCCCTTTTAAAAGACTGATAATTCATTTATTAACTATTATTTTTATAAGAAATGGATATAAGGGGAAAGCGTTTATCATGAGGCTTTATTTCAAATTCGATAGTGCGGACCAGACTTCGCTACTAGCTTCTCAAGCCGCCCAGGAATCGCATCAACTGATTTCACGAGGAACTTTTGAGGTATGTGGGCTTGTATTCGCCCTTCAAGTTCTGCAAAGACTTGGTTTGGTTTAGGAGACTTGCTCCTTTAACCAACCCCAAAGAAAAAGTTGTGCTTACGGTCAAATCACGCTGAAACACCGGTTCTCGTTCGATCACCGAAGTTAAGCATCGTAGAGCCATATCAGTACTTAGATGGGGGACCGCTTGGGAACACCTGGTACTGTAAGCCCCCAAAGTCCAACCCTTACCTCACAGTCGGTGGGGGAGTGTAAACGGTAGTGTCAGAGCTATGCCGTCCGGAACTTCGTTCCTGGTAGGGCCACCCAAGGCGGACAGGTCTGACACACACGCCGGCTAACAAGGGCTCTGGTGAAAATCCAAGGAGCGTCTGCATCGGTAACCGGCGGCTTCTGGTCGTTCCTGTCTCTGCGTCTGTGGGAATCCCGCGGCAAGCAAGAACGTTATCCGAGTAGGCCTGGGTACCCTACTTCTGTAATTTATCCCAAGAATCTTCTTCTCATAACAGGAAGAAGCCGGCTCAATCCGCCCAGGGTAAATGCCGTTTAAAAAAAAAAAAAAAAAAAAAAAAAAAAGTTACAGGATGTTAATTCATGACTCCTGGCTGACCGCTCATACATAAGATAAGGAGTTACTTTTCAATCCCTCACACACTTTTACAAAGATATATTTTTATAGTGTCGACCTATGTAGGGCTGAATATTCCTATGAAGAAAAGGGTGACCGTGTTTTGTTATCCATAGATGTATTATGTCTGTGCAAAATTTTCCACCGTTTTCTAATTAAAAAAAAATGTTCTCTATTGTCTCAGATCCGAGGTGGAAGTTGGTGGACTAAAGAACAAATTAGACACTGGTTTGAAGAAATGACCAAAGACTTATTTTTATTTACAAACTATAAAAATGTCTGTGGTAAGACTTATAGTATAGCATTCGAATGTACGTGTACGAGGTGTGAAATGAGAACGTGAAAAAAGAATATGCTTAACCCGGCTGACTGCTTGTTGGCTATCGGTTTGAGCTTGTCGTTTTGATAGTAAATGTAGATGTTCACAGGAGGTCGTTTCCATATGCTATTGGTCGGACGGGTAGTCAGCCGTGCCCTCGGGTTGCGTGTGTGTGTGAAGTCTCTCTCTCTCTCTCTCTCTCTCTCTCTCTCTCTCTCTCTCTCTCTCTCTCTCTTTCTCTCTCTCACACTCTGCTCTGTCCGGTTTCTCTTACAACCTATATAAAGGAAACGCACGGACGTAGTTGTAGACATCTGTGGCAAGCGAGAGTTGTGTCGATAATGGCCAGTACTCTGATATATTTGTGTTTGTTTTAAAAATTGTTTTGAGTAGAGTGCCGAATGTCAGTGACTGAGCTAGTCGAAAATTGATGTGTGGTTAGAGATATATAATTTCTAATAATTGTATGAATTTGGCTTTAATTTGCTATCTTTAACTACGTATAACTTGTGATTTTTGCTACAAGCTAAAACGATAGCGATTAAGAAATTCCGATCATTCAGACTGAGACAAACAAAATACGGATCCCGACCGGAAGTAGATTATTTCTGACTCGATAAACCTAACCGAGCCACAACACGCAGCAAGACCGGAAGTAGGCTATTTCTGCCTCGATAAATCATTGAAAAGCTTCGCTACTGTGTTATCTCTTATTTTAAGAAATTTATTTTTACGAGTTTTGTTCCGAGCCGTTTTTTCAGTCTTAATACCGTTTATCAATGTGTCCTCTGTTCAGTTTAAGATACAAATATTTGCATAATAATATGAAGGACTGTTTAGTACTTCACGTAAACAAGAAGCACACTCAGGCAACAGGCTACGAGCAGCTGCCATTTTGATAATTCAACACCCCCGGCATCACTCTGGTCAAGAAAAAAAAAAGGAAAAGAATGAACCTGATTAAGACTGTTCACTGAGATAATAAAGACGTATTTTTTTGGTAATGACCCTGAGGAAAAAACCTGTGAGGGAGAGGACAGAGACTTTAGTGTTGAACGCTGAAACGATAAAACCATGTCGTTTTCTTTTAAACTTTTTTTTTTTTTACATCGTAGATATATCGGATTTGAGAGATGTGGGGAGGTGGGTCGTACAGTATCCAGACAATAACAACAACAACAAAAAAAAAAACTTCGTTTTTTATTAACACGTTCACCGAACCTTCAAAGCAAGCGGAACCGGAAATCATGTTTGTTCAATTTATTAATACGACGTCGCAACCGCACGCCTCTTTACGATTTCTTAGGTTTGTGCAAAAGTTCTCGTTGCCTTCTTTTTCTAAAAAGATAGACTGAATCTTCTTCTTCATGAGCCGTGACCTCCTCAGAACGTAGGCGATCTCGTCCTGGGTTTGACGAGAAACTACATCCGGCAGCAAGATCGAAAGATTAAAGATTTCGAGGGACTTGGAACAACCTGTTAATTGCTGTCGTTCCCAGATTCACCCTGACCCGGAATGGTAGCACCTGTTAGGGCTCTAAATAATTAACCCACAAACTGGGGGTCATAAACACTATGAAAGTGTAAAAAAAGACATTTTCTTAGAAAATACTAGCAATGCATTATCATAGTAAAAAATTTACCAGCAATACATTCTTGAAAGAAAAAATTACAATATATTTTTGTAAAGAAAATTAATAATACTCCCAATAAAATTAAATTTTGATATTAAGTGACCCATAAGCAGTTGATATGCCGCTCAACAAACAAACAAACGTAGTCGATCATGGCTCTCCAGAATTTCTTCTTTTTTTTTCCTGTTTGCAAAGAACATTTCTTTTTAGAACTTTGTGATCGTTTCAGTCCGTGTGCCTATTAGCCATATTCAGGGGTTCATTTATATTATGAAGTCTTTATCATAAAAAATCACAAACATCAAACATCATCAACTATGAGCACTGCCACAATATACTGGCCGTATTTGGAAATTAAAAATATTACCTTAAGTGCGTTTATTTGTACTAGTTGTGTAGTATTCCAACAACTTATTGTTAACATTAGTTTATTGTTATGGGATAACCGCATTATTTTTCGTTTTCTGTTGATATGCAAAACCTATTTTTCATCACTTCTAGATATATAAATTTGTAGCCTCTCTCTATCCGTTTGTTTAGGGTTTGGAAGATGAAAAAAGCATATATATTCAGAAACTACATTACTCAGAGTACTTGGATATTTCATTTTGATGAAAGGGGTTCCCAGGAAGGCACTGATTTTTTCCCTTCGGTTTAAATTAAATTTAAATTTGAACAATGGAATGACTCTTATCCTAAATATAGAAGGAGAGAGCCAGAAGATGGAGGTCACATCGACAAGATCAAAATGAGACAATATGGACGTCAAGTTGAGCAAGAAATCACCAATCAGTGGGTAGTGTCTTACAATACATGTTACAGGGAATGAAAGTGAAAGAGAAGACTGAGAATAGAGAGGATTGAGGAAAGAACAAAAAAATTAACGGGTTTCATAAAGAGAGAAGATAGTGATTGACGTTACATTTATTTCTTTAAAGATTGTAGTTGACAGGGAAGCAAGAAATCGGAAGGGACTTCCACAGGTAGAAATTGCGAGAAAAAAACAGTTTGAAGTGAAAGTGTCGGTTGCATTTAGCTATTTCAACAGTAAAAGTGTGAGACCTAGCTGCCAATCTAGTAGCACGCTTCAATTCATATAATCGGGCCACCAGGGTTTAAAAGGTCATCAGGACAATTGTCATGAATTTCATGAAATACATTTGTTTGATGTTTTGGCAGACATCATCAGTGATGTTTTTAACCGGTGTTCATTAGGGGTTCTGAGTCTTTCAACATCATGGCCCCTTTCCACGGTGACTCAGCCGGTACTGGTCGGATATCAACATGTGTGCCATCTACAAGCTATAAATTTCCACATTTTGAATCACACTGCGACTCCTCTTGGCAATTTATAGTCCAATCAAGGATAACTTGCGATTCACCAGCAACGTATGCTTTTCCATAAAAAAAAACGAAGCAAACGCAGCCACGGTTTGGATCTGGTACGGAATATAGCGACGCGCTCGGCTTTAAGAAGTAAGTAACCATCTTTGTTTCCCTTACTGAAATGTATGAAAATATTTGTAGAAAAGACAGAGAGAAGCCACATTACGTCGATGAGAAAGTGACTGAAATTGAGATTCCTGGTCAGCGTCGATAATATTACAGATTTGTCTTTGGATTTTGTCAAGAATCTCAAGATGTACATCAAGGACAGTCAGTTATGTTCCATGCGTGATACACGCTTACGCGATCATGTATCTTTCGATACACGACTGACGAGGCAGATTTTTTTTCCAGCAGTAGGTTACATTACATTTGCTTACGTGCTAATATCCTTGGGAAAGTAATGTATCCTCTTCTTCTCACCCCACCACCAGATATGGGTAAATAGCAAGACAAGCCAGGTTTAAAAGCCTTGGATGACAACTGGCCTACCGCAGAAAGAAATGGCAACCTACTGCAGGAAAATCTACCTCGTCAGTCTTGTATCGAAAGATACATGATCACCTACATCAGGAACACCACACCAGATATGGCAACAGTATTCAATGCACAGATGAATGGTAAATATGTAAATGTCCAAGAAAGATTCTGACGAGAAAAACCTTCTAGCACGACACAGTGACCCAACTTTCCTTGCAGTAGATGCAGCTGTTGATTCGATATAGTCGTTCCTTTTCATGTCAGTGGAAAACGTGAGGCCAAGAAGGCGTAGAGTGTTGCTCTCCTGGAGTGTAGCATCAGGCAGAAAAGCTTCTCCGTTACGTAATATCAGTTCTCATAAGTAATCTTGAGATATATAGCAGGAGCACCGGACCAGATTTTGCTGCAGTACTCAGTTCAAGGGCGAATGGTAGATTTGTAAATGTGCAACAAGGATTATGACGAGAAAAACCTTCTAGCACGTCACAGTGAACCAACTTTCCTAGCAGTAGATGCAGCTGTTGATTCGATATAGTTGTTCATCTTCATGTCAGTGGAAAACGTGAGGCTAAGAAGGCGTAGAGCGTTGCTCTTCTGGAGTGTAGCATCGGACAGAAAAGGTTCTCTGTTATCTAATATAACTTCTCGTATGCAATCTCGAGATATATAGCAGGAGCACCGGAGCAGATATGGCAACAGTATTCAATGCACGAACGAATAGGCGCCGTTTCCGTTCAGGTCCCATCTGATAACGGTTCACACAACGTCTCCTGAAGTTTAGCATCAGCCATGCTGAAAGCAGACAGAAAAGGTTGTCCATGGTAATTAAATGAAAGCATTTTTGATTGGGAGGCGTTAAAATTTTCAAGCCAATTATAAAAAAAAATTCAATTTACAATTATTCAAACTGAAGAATGTTTTAGGTCACTAATTGAGTATTATGTATTCACTAATCAAATTTTGGCATATAAAACTTTTAGCGCACTAATCGAAAAAGTATTAATCGAGAGATGCCTTTACAGACCGTTCTTTGACTTTTGTCAAGAATCTCTAGATATACAACTGGAGCAGATATGGCATCAGTATTCAATCCACAGACGAATGGTAGATTTATAAATGTGCAAGATGTATTCTGACAAAACGAATTGCGTGGGACGACACAGTGGAGCAATTTTCCTTACAGCAGACGTAGCAATTGGTTCAATGTAGTCGTTTCACTTTATGACAGTGGAAATGATGAGCCCAAAGAGGTGAAAACTGATGCTTTCTTGGAGGTTAGCATCAGCCATGCTGATGGCAGGCAGTAAAGATTCTCTGTGGTGATTAAATGAAACCAATTTTAAATACACACGGAAAAATGCCAAACTCCATCCGCAACATACTGGTAGAAAATACAAATATAATTAACTCATCCACACGTAAAAAAGGGTTAAAAAATTATGGAAGCGTTAATAATAAAGACGAAGGCACTAAGGATAAAAGCTCATCAGAACAATTGTGATGAAAATGTTTGTAGAAAAGTCAAAGAGAAGCCGTTATCTTTCGCACATATTCGCATAAAATGTTCCTCTTACTCTGTAACCCCTTTTTACTTCGACAGGCCCCGGGGCCTTGTACAGGGTGAGCCCGCTGTAAAGAAAAGAAAAAAAACTTTTACTACATATTAGCTTTAAGAATTACATATATTTTAAATTAAAACTTTATCTTTCAAGTTGAAATTATGGTTTGATTTAAATTTTTAGATGTTTCACCAGTGAAACATT